GGGACCCCGCCGCTGCCACCAGCACGTGGCGAGGGGCAGCCGGCCCCCGCGGCTGCGGCCCGACCTGGCAGCGCGCCCGGCGCCCACCCGGCTCCCTGCAGAGCGGCCAGGCCCGCGCTTCGCTCCCCCTCCCCGGCGCTTCCAAACGCAAGGTGGCGTGGTGTGTTTTGGGGGCGTCTGCGGACAGCGCAGGTGGTGCTTTTGTTTTTTGGTTTGAGGCTGTTTATTTGGATTTTTTTTTTTTTTTATGTTTGCTCTTTAAAGAAGGAAAATTAGACCCCCTCTTCATTGCTGGGGGGGGGGCGTTGCTCTCGGATAAAAAATATACTGAGCAGTCGGAGGGTTTAGTTAATTAGTTAAATCAGTAATTTAGGAAGTGAGAGTGAACTAAGGAGGTCAAAGGTTCATTTAGAAAGACAGCTTTCTTCTCCCACACACCGCTCCTTCCCCCAACACAGAAGCGCCCACAGGGGCCAGTGACATGAAGAAACAGCAGATTTCACCCTTTCCACAAAGATGATTTTTGCACCTGCCAAACTGCAGATTTATGTTGTGTTGTTGTTTGCCACTTTTCCACTACATGACCTTGGACAAGTTATTTAATCTTTCTAAGTAGGGCTGTTAATTCCTGGCCCCAGATAACCCCTTGGGCAAAGAAGGGATCAGAAGGAAAGGTGTTCTCTGACCCCTCAGAAGATGTTAATGGGTACGGAATCATTTGTATTATTCCCTGATGGATTAAAAACCTGGTCAGCCTGGCTGCAGGTAGGGGCTGATCAGGGGAAACTCTCGAGGACTCTGGCTGGCTAAAAAGCATCTCCAAGGGACAGAGAAACATATCCTCCTATCTTCATCTGACAAGAAGCAGGGTTTTAGCTCTGAAGCACCCCTCTCCAGGAAAGGGTTAGGCCACTGGGCACCTGAGTTTATCTTTCTGGTTCCTGGGGAGATTGAGTCTAGGAGGGGAAGGAAGAAAGAAAAGGTTTCTTTCTCTCTGTGAAAAGCAACAGCGGCTGCCATCCTCCCCCTTCTGTGGGAAGAAAATTGGACTAAGGGGTGAGCATGTCCCAAGAGAGCCCGCAGGAACTCTGGACTCTTTTCTTCAAAGAAGAGAATTCTCACCAGCTTCCTTCCTTCTGCTGAGTTCCCTTTCAGTCTCACCTCCTAGTGCCTGCTCCCTTTTATAATCCAGTACAGGAAGTCACTAGTTTATGCTGAGCCATCTGGGATGACCTGCCCAGTAATCCCAAGGGCTAGACAGGTGTCACCTTCCTCCCCTACTCCACAAATTCTCTTCTGAAGCAGGAGAGCAGGCAAAAGATAGGAGGCTGTGGTACAGTAAGTGATTTAATATGGCCCTTGTAGCTGTAGTCTAAAAACAAATGACTGGGTAGACTATGCCAATGAAATGCTTGTGGCCTACTATGGAGACTGGATAGCTTGCTAATAATGTAAATAAGTGCATGGCCCCCTTGTGGGAGTGGGACCATCCAAATAAGGTATATGGAACTCTAAGGGGCAGGGGGAATTGGTCCGTTTTGCCATCACAATAGGCTTAAAATGAGCCATCCCAGAGACTGAAAGAACCTCACAACCACCAAGAAATAGCCAACATTGGAGCACCAACAGCGGAGCAAGTCCTTTGAGCCCGAGTTCCCTACACTGAGAACCTCCTAGACCGAGGAGGCATAGAGCTGTGATGCTGGATTCAGCAGGAAGCTACAGCAGAGAAACAGTGGCAGCAGAGACATCAGAACCAAGAGGTGGTGTGGTGGGCCTCCTGGTCCGCAGAGTGAGAGAGTTGAGTGCCTTTGGACATGAGGCTTGCTAGTGGAGTGGGGTGCCTCCAGGCTCTTATTGGCAGAACTAAAGAGCTTTCTAACACTCGCCTGAGCAGGGCAGGGAGAGGCCAAAGGCCAGAGAGAGACATGCCTACAGGCGCAGAGAAGAGGTTGCTTTGACTGAAGAACTAGATCATGAGTCATTTCTGATCCTGAATTGTAAGCTGTTACTACTCTAATAAACCTCACAATTGTATTGTCTGTGGGTTCTGTGTGGCCATTGCAACAAATTATCGAACCCAGCAGAGAAGTAGTGCTGTGGGAGGGAGAGCTGGTGTAAGAATTGGTCAAAACACTGGAGACATGTCTGACCTCTACTCATAGGAATCAGCCTTGGTCTATTGATCTTGATTCTCCTCCCTTGTGAAGTTACAGGAGGTGAGATGATGCTTCTACACCATTTTTATAGAGGCTAAACTAGAAGGTGTGAGGTAGTTTCTGGGCCCTCCTTGAGTGTGGACTTGGTCAGACTGGACCTGTGAAACTGACTGGCTGAAGCCATGCCCACAACAGCAGGCACTCCCTCACGAGAAAGGTCACAGAGTCTGTACCTTCTGAGCACCTACTGCCAAATGAGTAGTCAGCCCTTGCTGTTGGGGTGCTCATATCTGGTTGAGTCACTCAGCAGGGGTGCATCCAAATAGTTCAATCCTGATTTTTGGGTGGTTGGTGCCACAACCCAGCTGGGACAAGGTCTGACTTTGTTGCTGTTGTTTGTTACTTTCAAGTGAGCTCAGACTCACAGCCACCCTCTAACAGAATGAAACATTTCTGTTGCCCAGTCCTGTGCCATCTACATGACTGTTGGTACATTTGAGCTCATCATTGTGGCTATTGTGTCCTAAGGGTTGCCCTAATTTACACTGACCCTTTACCAAACATTGTCCTTTTTTAGCAGTTGGCCTT